AAAAATAGCTACAAATTTCTGAAAAATCAATAAACATCGACATAGTTAAATAAAACAAGTACATTTTGATTTTAGTATTTCAAAATTTTGAAAAAATAATTACCAAATTAAGATTAATTCTCCTAAACTTAAATTAATTTCTCTCTTCTTAAAAAATTGCTCCTCACTTTCGGCTCTGAGTTGGCTTTCATTTATTTTTAAAAACATTTTTTTCATTTATTGCTTATGCTATCGTTTGAAAAAAAGTTATTCATTTTTATAAATATTCTTATTAATAATAATGAATGAATTAAATAAAATTTATTAGTTGGTTTTGTCGTAGGCTGCAAATGAATTAATATATGGGTGGTAATATAATATATACATATTATGTGGCTGTATCTATTCAAAAGTTTATGAACTTATCTATTTTGTTCTTTTATTCTTTAAATCAATATTTTGATAGATAAAACCTGTACCCAGTAACTCTGTTACAGCCAACAATACTACAAACAAGATTCTGGAGCCAAAAGAAACTTGTGATCTTGAGCCGCCACCCATCTTCGTCGCAAAAATTGAAAATTTTATGTCCTTCGGACAAGAAATCGCTGATCTGATTGGGCAGCCAAATTTTACATGTTTTTCTGCAGTCAATGATATTAAAATAAATACCAACTCTAAAGGAAATTAAAAAATATTAATCGAGCATTTTACTTCACGAAAATACGATTTCCATTGTTACCAGCTGAGACAGGAAAACGCATACAGAGTCGTATTAAGAGGGCTTCATCCAACTACTTCTATAAATGCAATCAAAATGGGTTAGGAAGAAATAGGCCCTTAGCGTAAGGAACATAGCTACCGTGCTTCATCCTAAGGAAAATACCCGCTACCACTATTTTTCATAGATCTCGAACCTGCAAAAAATAACCCGGAAATATTTAACGTAAAGCGTCTTTTATATTCAATAGTCCATTTTGAAGAGCCCAGACAAAGACCTATAGTAGTGCAATGCACTAACTGTCAAAATTTGGGACACATAAAGGCCTACTGCCATCATCAGGCCAGATGCGTCAAATGTGCTGATATTTGACCGAAACAAGGCGAAACAAGGCAAGAGGCTGCTACATGTGCATTTTGTGGCGAGGGACACCCAGGGAGCTACAGAGGTTGCATAGTTTATAAAAATCTTCTAAAGCTGAGATCACATAATATGGCGTTGAAAAGCCATAGCCTTGATCATAAAAGTGGCACTGAGACCCCGCAATCGAAGATAGAACAAATTTCCCAGCAATGCCGTCGTCACCTTCTCAAGTCACCCAGACTCAACCATCCATCTCCACAGCTACGGACTATTCACAACAGGGTTCGAGAAATTTACATCTCCAAACCACCATCAAGAACCAGCAGCCTCGACGACAGGCGCCTCAGGCTTCCCAATCCAAGCCTAAAACTGCTAAACCTCAGCCTCAACCTCATCGTCAGCAAATCCCTCTTCAACATCTACCTTTAAGGGTCAAACTTCCACCAGAGCATCCACACCCAGTTCCATCCGTTCCTAATCCCAACGTAAACCTCCCATCACAAACCCACCAGAATATAGATCCAACTCCTCGCCTCCCACGTCGGGCACATTCCCCTTCCAACAATCCTAGTCGCACAAATTACCCATCACATCCTCCTGATCTAAATCCACTTTACAGTCAAAAACCTTCTGACATCAATTCTGCCCTTTCAACATTCCTGATAGATCTTCAAGAGATTATCAAACCACTCATTACCCTCCTCACCAGACTCCTTTCCGAAATCCCGTTCAACTTCCCTCGATGAATACAAAGCCCCTAGCTATCCTTTCATAAAACACTAATGGACTACTCAACCACCGAGACGAACTAGACTTATTTCTCCATGACAATCTCATTGGCATTGCCCTTCTGAAGGAAACTCACTTCACTCAACGGACACATCTCTACATACATGACTACATCACTTACAGATCTGATGCCACACCACCACCACTCCAACTGATGCCATTCAATCAACATCTGTAGTCCTTTCAACTCGCCCTTTCCATCTCACATTCTCAGCTGTATACTGTCCTCCTGGTAATTCCAACTCCTATAACCTCCTTGAATCCTTATTCCAATCCCTCGGATCGCGCTTTATTGCTGGAGGAGACTACAATGCTAAACACCAACGATGGGGTTGTCGAACATCCAACTCCCGCGGTAACATCCTTTCACGTGTCTCATCTTCCAACAGTTATTCAATCCTCTCGTCCATGAGTCCTACTTATTGGCCAACATCACTCAAAAACCGCCCCGATATCCTGGATATATTTATCACCTCCCAGATTTCCTTCTCACAAACCTTAATCAAATCACTCGATGAACTTTCTTCAGACCAAGGCAAGGAGGTGACGGGCCAATATCACGCTCAACCGCCAGGTTTTTCTCCTTAATCAACTATGAATACCCACTTTATAGAGACTGGGTTTGCTACAGGAAGGTCTCCCGACCCCAGGGTTTACCCACGGCTGATGAAAAATTACTAGACTTCAGCCGGATTCGTACCTGTGACCTCGCGTTCTGGAAGTCACTATTCACCCACTGAGCTACCCCACTCTCCTATGCTTCGATCTATATTCACTATTGATAACGTTTTAAGAAATCATTTTATTTTATTTTTTTATAACTAGAGACCGGATCTTCGAGCAGTAAAAATCCAAAAACGTGACGAAAAAGGTTCAAAACGTGCAATAAAAACTCAAAATATGTAAAATTATCTAATTTACACCTAAAAACTTGCAAAAATCATGTATTTTGTTTAATTTATAATATTAATACATCGAAATCCTGTCAAACCTTATGTTAAGCTTCTGAATTAAAATATTGTGTAACAAAAAAAGAATTAAAATTCAATATTGAAAATTAAAAATCATATTACAATCGACTAACGACAATACATAATCTAATACAACAATAAATTACGATTAACCTAAATCTTGAAGAAAGAGAAATTGAAAAAAAAATAAAGACACATAAATAATATAAAATATAAAGATAATTCACAAAACAAATACAAAAAGGCTTCAATAATTAACAGACAAATAATTAAATCTATTTGTTTAATTGATTGGCACATACAAGGAATGAAGTAATGTAGAGGAACTTAAAAAGATTAATGATATAAAGGATACGTATATATTATATAGACCAGACCAACTGTTACCAGATATTTAATTTTAATTAAAAATAATATATATACATACATAATTATAAATTGTCTACATTATATTGAAAAGATAATTTTTTAACGAATTGAAATTTACAATATTATACATTTCGAAATTTGTTTCTCAAAAATTGTTTCTTTTATCACTTACTAAGTAAGTTCTTTAATTGAGAAAATAGAAATAGAAAATCAACATGGACTGATGTAAGGAGACTCCTATTGTAGCAAGCAACTACTGCTGGTTCTTTGTCAACATTGACATTTATACCGTTAATGCAGTCCTTATGGTTTTATATAAGAGCGTAACCAGTATTTATTTCTATTACAAAGTAAAATGTTTGCGATACAATTTTTTCAACTTCACTATTGGTTTTTTTTAAGATTTTCTCCTACAGTTTCTATAATTTCGATTTGTTTGTTGATCGACGAATTTCCAGATTCTAAATAAGTTAATGTTTTCGGAAATTTGACAAATGTGAGTTTATGAATGTCAATTCGGCTATTATTAATGGTCTACGATTCACTTTAAAGCCGGAAGAGACGCTGAAGGACTTAAGAATGAGTGAGAATTGAAATCAAAATAAGGAAGGTAGCTTTTTTTTATTGAATTATCTCAAGCAACTTCTATTCCACGAATTGTTTGTCTGTACTTGTGTTTACTTCGTTCTTTAGTAACGTTAAATTCGAATCTTTACCAGTCATAGAATCATTTATCTTTCTCATATTTTACTTTCTTAAATTGTAAATTTAATATTGACAAGATATTAAAATAAAAAACTAATATTTACACACATATATATTTGTATTTATAAATCATTTCATCTAGTCAAAAATGTGCAATTTAATGCAAGAAAAAATCAATATCGTTCAATTTAAGCCAAAAACGGAAAAACGTGCTATTTCGTGCAATATAAAATTTAAATATGTTATTATATAGGTCCTGAAACGGATAGATATTTGGACCCGGGATTTTTACACACCGGTCTCCAGTTATAACAATTTTTATGGCGTATCTATTAATGTTTTTTTTTTTTAAAATGTTGATATATATGCCATAAAAATTATTATAACAAAACTAAACCAAATAATTTCTTAAAATGTTATCGATAGTGAATATAAATGGAAGCTTCACATATTTATCATATTTTTGAAAGATATGGGATGTCTGAAGAACGCAATCCATTAGGAGTGCTCTACGGGACATATCGATTACCTACAGCACACTACTTATTGAATATATAAAAAAGGCCTATTGAATATATAATATAAGGGCTTCCTGTTAAAGTTACACGATGACTTCTACTGCAGTGAACAGGGCCTTCTTGTTATCTAAGATCTCTGGTTGCTTCCCATTTAATTTTAAAAATGGGAAAATTACCATTGACTACAGATTTCTTGTCTACTCTGTCACCATGAAACTTTTCTTTGCTCCACAACCCATCATCAACATCTTTCAAGCATCCTTCGTTATGACGCGAACTAAGGTTCACGTAACAACCGCTACAGCCTCATTCATCATGGCAAGCCTATTCTCATACATTGCTTTCTTCAACTACTTCAGGAATAAAAACAAATTGGCAAACATTTTGAAAAAATACTTAGCAACTAATGATGGGTTCAAAAGTTTGGGGGAGAAGCCATACGATTCAGTTTCTCTGTTTTCAGACATTTTATTAATTGCTATTACACCCTGCTTGACATTCATTCGCTGGAGCGTAACACCGAAAATGACTTGGTATATGATTTACCAACTTGTTTATTTGATCAACGTAATGATATCGTTGTACATGTTGGTACAACCATTCATAAGACTTCTGGAGAACCTAACGTTCAGAATGAAGAGACTTAAGATCATCTTGCGTCAGTTATGTGGATCAGCTCCAAGTCAAAAGAGAACATACCAGTTGGAATCAGTCATTCGCTTGTACGATTTATTGTGCTCGATTTGCGACATCCTGAACGACGTTTTCTCATACAATCTACTTTTCGTCATTTTCATGGTATTCTTCTTGATCACGACCTACGTATATTACTCGATATCTTCTGCCTTCAACAGTTACACGGTTGCTTTGATCTCAGGAATCGTAGCAATTTTTTATGGCATTATCATGTGCTGGATAGCTATTCACAGTGAACGAATGGCTAAAGAGGTATCAAAGAAGCATTAAAATAACAATAATTGTTAAAACATAACGCGTAATAATAACTATTTCATTTCAATTAAAATGCTATTTATAATTAATTTCACTAAAAAATGTCTCTTTTGTAATAATTGTAAAAATACAGAGGTGGGAAAATTTATTTCTAATGCCAAGAAAAAACAAATAAATAGCAATTGAACAATATCATTAATACTGGATTTGGAAAATTCAGTATAATTTTAAAATCAATTAAACTTATGAATTCTCTTTTCATTTTTTTGTTTTTGAAAATTTTATAGTATTTTGAAATTGTATTTATTCAAATGATGAGGAAAAGAAGTCAAGAACCCCAAATGATATTCCTCCAACACCTCTTATATAAATTTCAACCCTCTAACAAAATCAGGGAAAAGCATTTTTCTTTCTAGAAAACAATCATATATGTCGAATTTGAGCTTATTTAATTACATTGCATTGCAAGTGTTCAAATGTAGAGGGAAATTACAAATATCAGACAACCTCTAAAACCACCAAAATCATTTTATAGAGATGGTGAATTGATTTTAAAATGTGCATCCACAACCTTTCCATTATCTTCAATACAGTGGAAAAGCATATATTCTCAGGGAAAATATGTTGTATACTTTATGTACATATTATATGTAACTTATATGATATATTTATATTTGGGTGGACTTCAGCATGAAATTCACAGTGTTTTAAATAGTAGAGCATGATGAGAAAGTTTATTGCGTGTAATATTTTTGATAAAAGCATTAGTAACTTATTTTTTTCATTTTTATTAATAATTTTAGATGCCTCCTGCAGAGCTTTTATTTTCTTCAGTTTTGTTATTAAGAAAGAAATATATTTTTTAAAATGTGAATCAGTGAATCATTAAAATTATTATTAGTTTAATTATGCCATTAATAAGTATTTATAATAAGTTTTCCAAATGATTAGGAATATTAACACTAACTCACAATTTTATGTTGAGCATGAATTAATAAAATAATACTTCAGATATCTGCATAATTAATTCCATACTATTGTTTAAATCCTTAAGCAATAAATTTCAAACATAGAAAAAAGATTTTGATAATGACAACTTGGAATTTTAAACATTAAGAAATTTCTAAATACAAAAAGAATTTTAAAAAACAATATATTTTATTTTGTCATGTTTCTTCTCTACTTATTTACCAAATCAGTGAGTGGGCAACTCAGATGATTTATCCTGATATGTCAGCTGGGTATTGACTCTAGATCAGAACAACCTCCTGGGGCACACCTGTCCTCTACAAAATGAGGACTTGAGTGTGATCCTAGTTGAATTATCTCCTTCCTCGGCCAAAAACCAATACTTACTTAGCATGGACTGAACTCAAGGTCCTTCACAGGTTTTAAGGGCAAAAGTTTTTTATCTCTTTATTATATAAAAAAAGTTTTAAGTGATAGTGTCATATTTTATTTTGCATATACAAAGCAGGATAGACTGTAACAAAGACACCATACTTTTTATTCTCATCACTATTTCTCCTTTATTATGGTTACAACAATAACTATAATCATATAAATTAGCAATAAGGCACGATTTATAATATAGATTTTTAAATAAATTAAAAATTTGTCCGATCTATGGTTTTGTTCCGTTTATTTTATGTTGATAAAAAGTAATATAATCTGAATTACCGAATACATGTAAATTACAATTGTATAATTTGTAAAATAAGAGTTGGTCTGCCATTTGACGTACAGGAATACCTCCCTAGTTATATATGTATTTACAAATTTTCTTCAATCGACCTTTGAGTATTATATTTTAACATAATTATTTAATTGGAAATAAGGTCAGTTAAAGGAAGTTTCGATCCAGGTTTTTTATAAGTTAACAATGGCATCCTACTGTATATTAAGTAGCTTAATATAAGGGCTAGTGGACGGTGCTGGGACTGTGTCCCTGTCCTGAGGTATCGACGCTCCATTTTAAAACTTAGAAGAGGATCCCATTGTTAACTTATGAAAAACCAGGATAGAAACGTCGAATAAACACTGAAGCAATGAACATTTAGTAGTTTATTTAATAATTAATTAGTGACCTTATTGGTTATAATAATAATATAACCTCGTGAAAGCTCACTTTATACTGTTGGGATAATTCCAAAAGAAATAAGAGATTGTTGAATAATAAGCAAAATTATAAGAGCATTAATACATTTATTTATCTCAGGTGTGGGCTACTGACAATCAGATCAAAACACTCAGACAAACTAAAATTAACTATACTAAACACTGTTTGATTTTAAAATAAAGTCAAATATGGATTGGCAATCTAACCTTTTTCTATAGATGCTGTTCCTTTGTTGCACTAAATTCATTTGTCTTCAAATGCTTTCCAATCTTCGGCCAAACACAACTTCCAAAATGGTGACACTCTCTTCTACTCAACTCAAGCTCCCTGGGAGATATTCTCTATTTTAATCCTAAACAAGTAGTCTCTCTGCCAAACGAAAATTTCCGAGATGGTAATACTATTACTGGACTTTACCCACTGGAGCCAGTATACCTTCTCCCATCCTTTCTTCACCCTATCCAAACACCAACTGCTTGCCAAAACAAAATCCTTTGTCCCATCACCTCTTTGGGGAAACTACAGAGCAGCTATTTTCTTTTCCCTGAACTAGTAGAACTAGATAAGCTTGCCTTTTAACTGTTATATTAATTTATAAAACTATTTTTACCAACTTTCAATTAAGGTGTATATTACAATATATATATGTTTTTTCCAATTGCATTTACTAATTCCAATAATTTATCGAATACTTTATGTTTCAGGCAATTGAATTCAATAACTTATTGTTTAAAATAATGATTAAGGACAAACTTAAGGATATAAAAAATAATGTAAGATAATTACAAAAGTCTTAATAGTTGCTAAATATTTAAGATAATTTAATGTTTCTTCCTTTTTTTAACTTTATCTAAAGCTCCTCCTGCCGAATTTTCCCTTTTATGTTTAATGATTTAATTTATTGTTTCATTTCATTTAGATATATTTTTTTTATACTGAACAACTTTTCTAGAAAAAGCTTCGCCTACATATTCTGATGAAGAGAGGGGTTGAACTTACAGCTTGTGGTCTCTTTCCACTTGATCATGCCTTAATCCATTCCGTAAGTAACTACTACTATTAAAAATAAATATTTTCTATTCACTGTTTATTTGGATATATAAGTTGATAATATTAATTCAAATATCCTTTATGTCATCTATTTATATAACAACTTTATATTATTACATGTTAGATACCTTTTAGTTTACATATTAGTAAAAAAATATGATTTAATTATAGATGATTGCAGCAGCTACTACTTATTTAGTCATCTTAGAAGATTTTGGGAAGCAGTGATTGACCCCACATTGAATGGAGTGTACCTCATTACAAATGTAGGCTAAAAGAATTTTTATATAAAGAATATTAATATAAAGTTTTCTATTTTGAAGATTTTAAACCATGATAACCAATGACTATTAAATTTAAATAGAAAATTAAATTATAATTTTCTGAATGAAATAAAGAAATATTTAATAAATAGATTTTTTATTACTTGCTGATTATTAATTATAATTGTAGGAAGAATTGGTTCAAAATTTATTTTATTTTAAGCAATAAGTCACCCCAAATATTTCATGTTCAACTTACTTTTTTAATTTAACATTAATACAGGACATTACTAATGGCCTTTTCAACTTTTTGGAAAGTAATGAATTTTATATATTATATATATATATATATATATATATATATATATATATATATATAATATATATATATATATATATATGTATGTGTGTATGTGTGTGTGTGTGTGTGTGTGTGTGTATTTGTGCCTCGATCTCTGGACCAGATCCCAGTCCTAACACAGTGACTCCTTCCTGTGAGATATATTTAAAATATTACAATATTTTTAGTAATAGACCTTTATATATTATTACTTAAGATAGTGGCTATAGACTATCTAAGCCCCCGACCTGTGTGAGCAAGAATTTTCCAAGCATTATGAAGGCAAGTTAACCAGCGACCAAGAATTTATGGTTTATTGAAGTGTAGTTCACGACCTATTATCCGACTATAATTTCTATCTTAAGTTATATATATATATATATATATATATATATATTATATATATATATATATATATATATATATATATATATGTATATATATATATAACTTAAGATAGAAAGAGAGAGAGAGAGAGAGAGAGAGAAAAAAAAATGTTTTTGGTTATCTATCTTAACCCATCCTTTCAACGTGCCCAAGCAATCTTATACGGCATAACATAAGTGACTATGTCTAGTTTTTTATACAGGTCTTGGAGTTCTCTATTATTTCTTATTTTCGATAGGCCAATTATACATATTGGCCCAAAGATTTGTCGAAGGACCTTCCTTTCCCAGATCCGGAGGGTCTTCTCGCATTCCTGTGTCAGGGCCCACGTTTCACCTGCATAAGTGACAATTCGTCTCAAGATAGTTTTATAAACCAGTAGCTTTGCCTTCCATGACAGGTTTTGAAAACGCAAAGTTTTCAGCAATTTTACAAATTTATTTTCTCCCTCTATCATTCTCAGAACAATAGATACTGCCAATTGAAAACAAAGATATTTAATAATCTTCTTGCACTCATGTTGTAATCAATAAACTAGAATGTACATTTAAGATTTGGAAAAAAAAAGATAAAAGTATATTAAAAACATTTATTTGAAAAATTAGCAGCCTATTAGACTGAGCCTAATTAAATATCAGTAATCTTGTGATAAAATGCCTCATGTAACAACATTATTCTGTTTTTTTATGAGACCATTTCAATTCTTCTTCCTTCATGTATGTACAGATAAGGAGATACGTTCAGGTAATGTTTCCATCATACCATCATCCAACAATTTTACGGTCATCCAACAATGATGAGTTTGGTATCACTAGGATAAGAGACATATTGATGTCTGTTCTCTTCAAATAGCCTCGTCAGTGCTTCCTTATATAAGGAATGATAATATTCAATATCTTTTTCACTTGGCTCAGTAATCTTGGGAATGTCTATAGGTTCACCAACTGGAAAAACAAAAAGGATCACATTTTCACAACTATCATTAATAATGATGAATATAAATCTCAGAAATTATAGAAGGAAATTTATAGTCCAGGTGCATTTAAAAATGTTATAAATTATCGTGGCTAATTACTCTTTAGCATTAACTTCTTACAAGAAACTTACAATTGTTTATGAACTGATTGGACATACTAAGTAAAACTCTTAAATATTTTTTAAAAAATTAATTTAAATTTTAAAAATACCTAGACTCTGTATTTTATGTAATATTTTAAAATAATGTTTATATTTCACATTGATTTTTACATCAACTTTCTTTTATTTTTATAACTCCTTATATTACATCATTGAAAAATAAATAATAACTTACATTGGAGACCAAAAGGACAAGAAATAATTTCAACTTATGCAATCAACTGAACCAGGCACATACAATGGGATCTGTTGCGGTGATCTACAGTTCATTACAAAAGATCTCATATCGTAGAAACAGATCATGTTTTTTGTTTCTGAGTTTTTAGTCTTGAATAAATGAGTATTTCTTTTTTAATAACTAAATTGCTGATTTTATATATTTTTACAACATTTTCATTTTACTGATCAATGCCCATTTATAGTTGATATAACTCATTAAATACACACTTTGATTAATACAACAAATAAAATGCATAGGAACATTTATGAACTTAATAAAATTCATAAGTGATAAACAAATATTTAAATTAAAAAAAAACTGAACTACAGAAATTTGGAAATTTTATCCACTCTGAGGGAATGTACTTCCATATTGACTGAAACATCATGGTAGATTGATAGGAAAATTGACATCTACGAATATTTAAACTTGGTGTAGTGGTAGGGTTCCTTTCACAACACATTGCTGCTTTAAGCAAATATATTTTGTCCCATGAATCGTTGTATATCAACATCCAAAGAGATGTAATAGGAACCTGACTGACTAGTATACCTATACTAAGTTTAAATATCCATAGATGTCAATTTCCCTATCAATCTACCAAGATGTTTTAGTAGATATGGCATTAAATCCCGTCAGGGTGGATAACATTTTCCAATTTCTGTAGTCGGGTTTTTATTTTAATTACCAACAATTTTTTTTTTTGTAGAATATTAACAATTAATTTTCACAACACAATTTTTCAAAACATTCACGAGATCTACCCGAGTAATTACAGCTGTCAAAGTTAAAATCAATCATGTCAGCCACTAAAAAAATCTTCACATCCCTTTTAGTGGATTGATTAAACACACTTTACACAGTAATATGACAGAATTTTGAGCTCAAATTACTTCAAAACACTCAGGGAATCTCACAGAATAATTTGATCCATCAAACTTAAAAATCGATCCAGCTGTTCGCTCAAAACAATGTTACAAAGCTTTTTGCAAATTGATTAAACACATCTTATTTAATATCGGGTCAGCATTTCAGTTCATTCAAAAAACGTTACATAACTTTTAGCTGACAAGCCAAACTCATAACCCCCACATATCTTATAATTTTTATAATATATTTTATGAAAACAGAGAATTATCAAAATGAGCACATAAGAAAATTATAAAAAATAGGTTGTTATTACAAATATCGACCAATAAAAGTGTCAATAACCGGTCTTTTTATCCTAACAAAAAAGTTAAAGAACATACCAACCGTCACCATCGGTGTCCTCTTGGGCACACAGGTTAAGAGCCAGGATCTGCCGACAGGGAAGCACAAGGATACTCTGGTCAGCCTTCTGAACCAATCCTGTAAGCTGCCCAAAATGCTGTCAGTTTTGGGAAACATCAGCTGCAAAGGATCGTTCTCACCAAAACAGAATACAGGTACCAAGCTACACCTGGAAACATAATTAGTTCTGTTTCATAGTTTGCCATGATTTTATTATGAATTCATTGTCATATTGTTCTTTGAACTTATTAGTCTTAAGAGCTTAAAATGTTAAACGTCTTTTCTATTAATTACTTGAAACTAAGAACAAGGAAAATGAATACCTGTTTCTGAAAAAATGCTATTACATAGAAATTTTGTGAATAAAATGAATGAAAAGAACCCAGTTAAAAGCTAGAAATAATGTTGGATTGTATCAGAGGAACAGTGAGACCGAGATTATAATGCGTAGATACAGTTTTGCAAGATGCCAGGCGTATCTTAAATTTTCATGACTGGATTGAAGCAAACTGCACAGGATAGAACCAGCAAACAAAGTTCCTTGAAGAGAATAAGATCTACACTGGGTTGTAATATCAGATTTTACATGTATCAAAACAAAAATTTATATAGCTAATTTTCGCTAGGATTAAATGACAATAAAAAATGAAGAGATAAAGAGAAACTAGAGGAAACAGATAAGTACAAAATAATCAATTATAAAAAAATTATCTGTGTCTTTGTGTGTGCTTGTATCTGAACAGTCTAGCCTAAATAAAAATAGTCGCATGAAACTAGAACTATGTATGCCTCAGACAATTCAGAGATGGTTAAACTGCGGGTGTTCAGAATGGCACTGCTAAATTTTAGAATTATACAAAATGAATTGATTCTTGAACTATCCTCTTACCCAGTTGTGAGGGCTATCTTGATGAATCCCTTCCTCTTGTTGAGTATGATCCTGTAATCTCCTGGTTGAGTGTAGCAAGCCTCGGAGCTGCCACCTATCATCAAATTGATCACGTTACCTCCTTCATTGTTCCTTAGCAAGAACATCAAGCTATCTATGGAAGCCGACACAAATCCTAGAATATGCAATATATTTAAATAGTAAATGAAATTAATAGCAGTATGAACATGTAAAGTTATCAAAAATAATGGTTCATAAATACAACTGTTGAAAAAAAACATATAGTAAATGTCTTTAGGATATTGTGTTTATCAACCATTATAATATAAATATAACCTCACCTAAAGCTAACACATAATCCCTGAGTAACGGAAAGTAGAAGTTGATGTTGAGGGTGGCAGTGTGAAACTTGAGCCCTGGAAACAATTCAGATGCTTTGGAATATCCCAAGATGAAGTGGGCAATACTGCTCGTACATACCACTCCATGTGGATGAGTGCAGAAGATGTAGTTCTTTCTTGGATCCAAGTCTGCAGTTTTGATCAGTCTTATTGGGAAGTAATCATTAAAGTACTTCCATATAGGGAACCTTTTCACAGCATTTACTCTAAGGGAAATTAAAACACCTTAAATCTATTGATTTATCAACTACTTAATTAAGTAACATCCTTATACAATTGTATTCACCTTTATATTCAATAATATTTTGTAAATATGTTCTATACAGGTAAATACGTACTTTTCAACAACATAAAATAATGTTCTTATAATAGATTCAAATTTTGCATATGGATCATTCTCTAAGAAAATATCAAATGCTTTGAAGGCTATTGCTACTATCCATCAATAATTTCGTATTAAAATGTAGCATCCCAAAAAACTATTAACTTTTATCATATCTAACAATAATTTATAATTTGATTAAATAACTTTAAAAATAATAATAAGTTTTACTAATATGTTGAAATATTACAATTCAATTAATTGCTTAAAAAAATCACCCTATTTTTGGCCATAGTAAGTGAGATAAAAGTAAAAGCTTCAGAAACTTGTACCTGATGTTTTTGTGTTATTTTTTCACCTCATGAGTTTTTAAATAGTTATCACTTGTTTATTTCCTTCAGTCAGTAACCTTTTCCGCAATGGCAGACTACACTAAAAGTGATAACTATTGTAATCTGCCAAAACTATTCAATCAAGTCAATCTTATTAATCTGGAAAGACATGTGTAAATCTGAAATGTAGTTGTATTGTTTGCTATTCTAGCGACTGAAAAGAACAGATAAGACATTTATTTTGCTTTGTTTTTTTAACGCATCTATTAAAAACTTGATAAATATTTAAATTGTATGTATACAGTGTATGTTAAAAATATAAAGAAAGTAATTTTTTTTTCTCTTCTTCCTTGCCTTTAAGGCTAAAGGATTTTTGCAGGCCAGGAGGGAAGGCTGGGATTATTTCCAGAGTTAAAAAGAACTATTGAATGTAAATAACTCAATCGGGGCTCTAATTGAAGCTGCTGGAATGCATTACAAAGAAATTTATGAAAATTATCATCAAGGGAACAGCTGTTACCCTAATATTTGTTCACTATCGGATGAAAGAACGTAAAATTTGAATTCCACTAACAGTTTCATGATGGCATGAAACGAATTATTTCAAATGATCCAATTTTTAGGCATTTGCGATTCCTCTTTCAGTAATGGCAAACTAGTTGAAACTTGATGTTGAGAATGGATATTATAACGGTGTATGGCTAAAAGTTTTCTTCAAATAAGTGGAAGAATTATGACTCTGCTCTTGTACTAATAAGAGTCATCGGATCAACAAGCTGGATCAACATTGAAATAACATTTGATGTTTTGATATAAACAGAAACAAAGTACATTAGCATGTGTTTGACACATTAGCGACCATAATTGCTGGAGATGTTTTTTTTTTTATTTCATGATACAAAGCATTGGAAAAATTATGCCAAAAGTACAATTATTTGTGTAATAAAACTGATTATCAGTGTTTATTTTTAGATAAATTGTATATAATTTTGTACCAATAGCATCAATTTTATTTAATTGACTGGTTATGGGTAACTGCAGAATAGTTTACACATTTAGACATTGAGGGGTGCCCAGAAGGGGATTTCAAGGCACAATTTGGAGGAGGTAATAATTTTCATAATGAAAAGTTTCAAATCAGGGAACAAGAGGAAACATGGAACAGATAGTTGCAAGAATAATTCTATATTATTTACGACTTTTCAAATTTGATTTTGGCTTCTATTGTTTTAAGAAGAAGAGAGCAAAAAATATCTTAACAGCAGGGGTAAGGTTAATGTAAGGTTCTGTGGGAGATGGCACCTCTGTATATATTTTAGTAAGTCCTGGTATAGATTTCTTAATGAATATTTGATATGACAAATCAACTTTAAATACTCACTGCCTGCCACCTCTGTTTGGTGTCTTGTTGTCATAAAACATCCAGCAGGCTGCAATTGCAACAATAGGCCAATACTCTGTCCAGAATGTTATGTAAAGAAGGAAGATTGTAGTAAAGACATGGAGGAACAAATGGAAGCAGTAAAGAACAGCGCTTGACAGTTCCAGCAAGTTCTGAAACATTGTTTTCCATTTCTGTCTTTCCATGGCCTCTGTAAAAATAAAATAATAAAAATATCATAACCACTAGAACTAATATTTTGAAAGTAATCATGACTGAATAGAACAGATAAGACATTTAAGTTAAGTTAATCATTTCAGTACATGAAAAGATTGTATACAATAACATTTTATTGAAACATCTGTATGATTTTGCACATAGCTTTTTTCAGAAGAAGCATGTCAACTTTAATTCTTTTATACTCTAAGTTTAATTACTTAACAATAAGATATTGGTATGAGAAATAGCAATGAAAAATTATAACAATACAGTTAGTGCTTATTATTAGTAGAAAACTGGGTTCTTTATGATTTATTATTCTAAAATGTAAAAATTTTGAGGACGTTTAAATAATTTTTTTTTTCAATAATTTTAAGTTTTATCTTTTGCTATATGGCCATTAGTCATGCCTCAAAACATTCCTGAAGTGAATATAAAAAAAAAATAATGTTTGATTAGCTATTCATTTTGTTTAGATTTGAATGGACTGGGAACTGTCAAATGTTCAGTAATTACCTCAGCTCAATATTAGAAAATGTTCTTTGATATGATTACTAATGTTATTTCCAGCAGATCCACTTTTATTGTATCGTTTCGAAAGCATCAATAGCATATTCAGGATTTAATTTTTTTTTTTTTTTTGTTATAAAAGCAGTTATTAATGTAAAGCAGAGTTCTCTAATCTACGGTCCGGAAGCATCTTCAATTCGGCCAGCGAAAGTTTCTTTTATTACACGATAAATAAAAAAAAATGAAATTTAGCCAATTACTCTCACACGAGATTACTGCAACACTTTTTTTTTTTTTTTTTTTTTGACTTGATTCTTCAACTCACACCTGTCAGAAGTTCCGACAATCAGCGAGTGTGATGTCAAGATGAAGAGATTGGTCTTGGAATAGGCGTGAGGGAGAGGAGTACCCAGCGGCGTCCTTCCTGTCTTGAGCGTAATATTTCTAGTTAGTGGAGGAGATCCCTCATCCAGCTTCTTTTAAGCCTCCTTCGGGTGCTATCGGGCATGTTAGTTGTGGCCATGCCTCGAATCAATGAGTTTGTATGTCCGTGTAAGTTATTATGAATCGTTTGTAGTATGTTCGTATGTGGTCGTTAACTGTTGGCATCTGTAAGTCTTTATGTAGAGTAATGTTACTGACGTACCAGGGAGCTTTGGTAATAGTCCTGAAAGTTTTAGATTGAAAAGTCTGTAATTTACGTATGTGAGTCTTTTTGGCTGTCCCATATATCTGTAAAGCGTAGGTCCAAATAGGCTTGAGTAGGTAAGTATATGTATTCAATTTCTGTCTAAGTTTTAATTTCGAATTTCTTGCAAGGAGTGAGTACAATAGGCGTAGTCTTAGGTTTAAAGTTTTTGTTTTGTTTTTGATATGTTGGCCCCATGTCATTCTTCTGTCAAAGGTCAGTCCAAGATATTGAACTTTGTCTGTCTGAGGAATTTGGATATTGTCAAGGTAAATAGGGGGGCAAGTTTCACGTCGAAGGGTAAAAGTGATATGTTGTGATTTGTCAAGGTTGAGTCGAATTTTCCAGAGTTTGCACCAGTCGTAGAAATTGTTTAGGTGATATTGTAAAGTCTGTGAGGCGTATGCTGAATTTTGATGTCTTGTCAAGATTGTTGTATCGTCTGCGTAAGTCGCGGTCAGAGTATAGAGAGGATCTGGAATATCATATGTGTAAATAATATACAACAGAGGAGCGAGTACTGACCCCTGAGGCACCCCTGCTAGGGCTGGTTTAATGGTAGATAGTTCTGTACCTTGGCAAACAGAGAAAAATCTGTCAGAAAGAAAAGATTGAAGAATAAGATAGTAGGTTGGAGGGAGTATAGTCTTAAGTTTGAAAAGAAGTCCCTGATGCCAGACTCTATCGAACGCTTGAGCAACATCCAGAAATACTCCTGTTGCATATAATTTGTGCTCTAGTGCTGTCGCAATGTAGTCTGTCACTCGGTGTAGCTGATGAATGGTTGAGTGGTGTGAACGAAATCCAAACTGATGTTCAGGTATTATGTTTTCAGTAGTCAGTATGTCAAGAAGTCGTTTGTAGAGAAGTTTCTCAAAGATTTTAGAGCATAATGGGAGCAAGCTGATGGGTCTGTATGATGAAGGAAAGTCAGTGTTTTTGTTAGGTTTGTGAATCATTTTTATGAATGAGTATTTCCATTGTAAGGGGAATTTAGTCGTTCTGAGTATTGCGTTATAAATTGATGTTAGGTATACTAGAGCTTTCCTTGGCATTTTCTGGAGCACTTGAGCATTTATCAGGTCATGACCGGGAGCTTTCTTTTTAGGTAACTGTCTGATTTGTTCTGCAACTTGAGTGGGAGTGAAGCAAAGTGGAGGTAATGACAGTTGTAAAGGAATGTCTAAAGTGTTTTGTACATGTCTTTCGTGATCAGTATTAGAGAAGTCAGTATGTGGTATGAAAACAGAAGAAAGATGGTTGGCAAAGAGCTCAGATTTTTCAAGGTCTGACACAGCCCAGGAACCATCTACGTTTCGGAGTGGTGATGACACCTCACAATGCTTTACAAGTTTCTTAGTCTGTCTCCATAAGCTTCCATCGTCAGTCGAAAGATTTTTGAGGTAATTGTCGTAGTTCGTTCTTTTAAAATTCTGAATCTGTCGTTTAAGTTCATTGTTAAGTCTATTGAAAGTCCGTTTGTCAGATGGAAGTCGACCAGTCTGCCACACTTTGCGCGCTCTTCTCTTTGCTCTGATCAGGTCTCTAATGTACTGCGGATAGATTGGAAGAGACGTATTTCTGCTAGGTCTTGGTACAGATGATGACCATACAGCCTGTTGTAAGCTGATTGTGAACTTATCAACAGCTTTTTCGAGTTCCTCTTCGGTCTTAAGGGACATTGGGATTGATAGCGTCGAATTTAAGTAGTCGCTGTAAGCTTTCCAATCGATTATCCTATCTGTAAGTGTTGGTTTTTTTGATGCAGTACGAGGCTCATCGCATAGTACCAAACTGAGAAGAGAATGATCAGAACAAAGATCAGAGCTTGCAGTTACAGTATACGGCACTGTCCTGAGTCCTTTAGTAATGAAAAAGTCAAGTAAATCTGGTGTTTTCTGTCTTGAAGTTGGCCAGTAAGTAGGTGTATCAGGTGAGATCGTGTTTAATGAAAGCTGATCGATGGCAGACTTTAGATTTCTTCCTCTAGGAGTACAGAGTCGTGATCCCCAGGACTGATGTTTGGCATTATAATCACCACCTGCAATAAAACACCGACCGAGATGTTGGAAAAAATTGTAAAACATTGCAGATGTTAGCACGTATCTCGGAGGGCAGTACACTGCAGCGAAGGTAATGGTATGGTGCTGGGTATACAGAGTAATTGCTGTGGATTGTATGTCAGGTGTAATGGGTAATTGTAAAGGGTTGTGTTTTAGTGATTGCTTAATCAGTATTGCCGTACCGCCATGTGCCGTCTTATCAGGGTGGTCAGTTCTATATTTTGTAGCCTGGAATGTAAAATTTAGAATGTGGAGTCAAGTGTGTTTCAGTGATGAGAGCAATGTCAGTCCGTTTTTCATGTATGTACATGTCAAGTTCAGTCCTGTGTTGGTTTATACCATTTGCGTTCCAGAGAAGAACGGACATGGAGCCCACTGTCAGCCGATTAGTAGCCATAACTGGAGGATAAGGCTTGTGCAACGTGAGACAGTTCTTGGAGAAGGCTGAAAAGAGGCTGGATGAGGTTATTCAATCCACTTACCAAGTTGAAGAGCTGAGCTGAAGCCGGGTGATTGTAAGTCGGTAGTGGCGGTTGAGTAATGCCCTTTTTCATTTCTGGATGCTTTGGCTGGTGAAGGTGATTTTCTGGGACTTCTGTAGGAGAAGTTCGCAGTTTTGGTCCTAGATATTGAGAATCGGGTTTTGAAGAACCTGAATTTGCGGTATGCTGACTTTGCGGAAGAGAAGGAAACTCGTCTATACCTGGGGGTGCGCTAGTTTGTGCTTTTTGGGGACTTTGTATATTTTTACGGAGATTGCGTACTTCCCTCAGTTGTTTTAGAGTTGCACAACCTCTATAATTTGCTGGATGGGATCCGCTACAATTCGCGCATGTTGCTGCGGTCTCTCTTGTCTTTGTGCAGACGGTGCTATCATGTCCTTGGCCACATCTCACGCACTTCGGGGAGTGATTGCAGTAAGCCTTTGTGTGGCCATACTGCTGACAACGGGTGCACTGTGGAATCATTCTTTTCTTTCTTGGCTCTTCGATTTTCACTCTAGTATAGTATAAAAATTTGATATCAAAAATTTTTTCATTAAATGTGGCTTTAGAGATATCGATAAAGAACATGGGAAGTGGATTTTTGTATCTGGAAATAACGTTCACAATACTTGTGGCATCGTAGCCTAGGCATTTTAATTCGTATTTTATGGTTTCAATTGGAGTAGCATGGTGTAAGTTTTTTAATACGATTCTTGGATTTCTATCTTCTATTAACTGATAGGTATGGAAATCGGCACCTACCTGTCTTAAGTTAGCTACTATACGTCTATATGTGTCAGAGTTTTCAGGATATACGGTTACTCCTCTTGATGTGGATTTTAGGTTAAAGCTGTTCAAACCTCCTACATTTTGGAGAAATGTGACCAGTTCGGTGTAGTTCTGTACATCATTCAAGTGGATAGGGGGCGGTTTTACAGAAACTGGTTGCTTAGTGGTAGCATCAGACTCGTCACTAATGTTAGTTAAAACTTCAAAACTATTAGTGGTTACTGTTGTAACTTCACTTACCTTTTTAGCTTTTCTTGGGTCTCTGTTATTGTCCATTGAGCGTTTTCTTCCTGTAACGAGTTCCCAATTATTTTCAGTAGTTTGGTTTGAGTTTAAAGCGTCCACATTTTCTGTAGAACTGGCAGATATCGACGTCTCAGACATCGTTTGCGGTGAAACCGCTACACCGAGGTGTGGAGTTCCTATTTCTTGGAACTAATTGGTTTCAACAACAGAA